CATGCCAAAAGTTTGCAGTTACAAACAAAATATTAGGACATATATAAAAGAATATAAAGGAGATTGACATCGAAGTTTTCAGGGGCAATACTGAAATTTACTGAACATTTTAAAAAATTTCTTTATTCATTTTGAGAAAGAAAAAGAAGCAGAGAGACAGGAGAGAGAACCCCAAGCAGGCTCTGCACTGTCAGTGCAGAGCCCCACATGGGGCTCGACATCACGGTTTGAACTGAAATCAAGAGTTCAACACTTACCTGACTGAGCCACCCAGGCACCCCAACAATACTGAAATTTAGAAAAAGATGAAGCAGCCTTTTAAATTTTAAGAGAAATTTATCTTAAACCCATACTCAAGAAAACTATCAATGGTGTGTGTGTGGCGGGGGTGTTGTTGGGAGAGGCAGGTGGGGGTAAGTCAGTGGGTGGGGTCAGGTAGACTAAAGCTAGATGTAGACATACAAGGGCTCGGACGTGCTACCTCTCGTTCATCCTTCCCTCGGAAGCTATTGCAGGGTGTATTCCGGGAGACAAAGGAACAAATCAAGGAGAAAGACATGGGACCCTGGAAACGGGAGATTCTATGTGGGAGACCGTGAAAGGTGAGAGTACGCAGCTAGAAGGGTGTAGAGAACTTGTCTGCTAATCTCACTTAAAATAAAGACAAAGGCATTAACGAAGAAGGGAAAGGTAATCAGAAACTCTAAGAAGACAAAAAAGCTGTCTAAGCAAAGGAATTTAATCATAATATTGGCATTTTAAATTCTTTGATCTACAAAATCTCATAGGGTCAATTTATCTGTTTTTTCTATTTTCTGCTTCTGTTATCATGCTCAAAAAGGCCAGCTCAGGATTAAACACACATTTACCTAGATGTTTCTCTAGGATATTTATTTATTCTTTTCCTTTAAGTCTTTAAGTAGAGGAAATTTCCCCCAGAGGACGTGTGAGGGAACAGCTCTGTGCGGGCACCTCACACACACTTGCGCAGGCCGCCTGAGCAGGAGCTGAGCACGGCTGATGCGAATCCCAGCAGGGCGCCTCGGGATCTTCCTGGACTCGGGATAATGGGAGACTCACCAGGAGCAAATCACGGTCTCCTAAGGATTCTGTGGGAGACAGCTTCCCATGGCCTTCTGGCACCGATCTGGTTTGCAGCGTGGGTTGTACCTCCCTTGGGGTACAGCAGGAAGCTCTGCAAATAAGTGGCAGCCTTGGGGCGCTGGGCGGCTCAGTCAGTTGAGCGTCTGACTTCGACTCAGGTGATGCTCTCATCGTTTATGAGTTCGAGCCCTACATGGGGCTCTGCTGTCAGCATTCAGCCTGCTTCAGATCCTCTGTCCCCTTCTTCACAATACCTACTTTCGCTCTCAAAAATGAACAAACATTAAAAAAAAAAAATTAGCTGCAGGCTGACGCTGGATCCTCTGCACCGGGGTGTCCTATTATTAGTGTTGCTGTCACCTGGTCCCTATTGTTTGGAGGTTGCTCTGCACCAGGGCCACAGCGAGCTAGGACCCTTGGACGCTTCCGTTCTCTGATTATATAAGTACCGGGCTTTCTGAAACTACAAAGGGCTTCTCGGTTTTTTAAAAAAATGTTTATTTTTTAGAGAGAGAGAGAGAGAGAGAGAGAGAGAGCATCCAAGACCAAGCACAATTCGGGGAAGGGCAGAGAGAGAGAGAGAGAATCCCTAGCAGCTCCGAGCTGTCAGCACAGAGCCCCACTCAAGACTCAATCTCAGAATCACAGGCTCAGGACCGGGGCCGAAATCAAGAGTCGGACACTCAGCCGACTGAACCGCCCAGGTGGCTTCTTCTTCCTTGACTGGCGGAAGTGGAGGAGTCTTACACTGCCCTTGTGCTCCACGGTAGCGATGTATGTTCTACCAAGTTGTTGTTAAACGTTCCTGACACCGTTTACTGAATCGTTTACTCTTTCCCCCATAGATTTTTTTTTCTTGTTGCTTTACCTTTAGAAAATGTTCTTCTATGTACATAAATTATTTTAGGTACTTGCATTTGTTTCCTAATGTGCCTCTGACTGCGATGCTGCCGGGCGAGAGCAGGACATTTTCAAACACGAAGAAAAACACCTAAAAGGGTTTTGATATAAAAGGATTCCAATGGCTAAGATGCAGTAGGGGCCTCTATGGAGGTGTGGTTTAGAGGTGTGAGAGCCACCTCCCCACAATACCACAAATAAAACGGCACCCAACATTTGCTGAAGGGCGAGCCCAAGCCTCTGTCTTCCATGCTCCGCACACCTTGCCCCTAGAAGAGGGGTTGGGGTAACATGTGGGTCGTCAGAAAGGCTGGCTGACCTCCTTTCCCTTGCCCCACCCTTCCCTCCTTGGAGTGGTAGAATCCCAGGAGCCCTCCTAAGCAGCTGTCTCAGACAGGGCACGCCCCACCCCACTCCCTGGGGCTGGTGCTTCCTTCCGGTCTCTAGTATCTTGGTGCAGAAATTTCATCTTGCCGAGAAAGTGGGGCACATGAATTGACAGAAGTAGAGTCAGAGCTGGGCAGAGGAGGTGCCTTTTAAGTATTCTTTTTTTTAACGTTTATTTATTTTTGAGAGAGAGAGAGAAAGAGCGGGGAAAGGACAGAGAGAGAGAGAGGGAGACAGAATCTGAAGCAGGTCCAGGCTCTGAGCTGTCAGCACAGACCCCGACGTGGGGCTTGAACTCACAAATGGGGAGATCGTGACCTGAGCCAAAGGCAGACACTGAACCGGCTGAGCCACCCAGGTGTCCCTGAAGTATTCTTAAGATAAACCTCTATTCTACTGGACTGTCTGTTACTAGGTTTCTAATCCTAGCAATCAAGCAAAAGCAATTAGTTATCTATTGCCCAGTCCACACTGAGGGGTTAAGGAGTCTCTTAGTTCAAAGTGAGACCGTTATGAAAAGAACAAAACAACACAACAACACTTTCTAAGTTTTAGCCGGCCCCTGCTGTATGCTAGTATAGAGAACATGTAAGAAATCCCTACTATGCTGGCCAGATACCTACACCTCAGAGTATTACTCAGTTCCCACCAAACTCCCTTATGATTATCTCACTGCTATTGTTTCTTAGGTGAGCAAAGTCAGGACTAATTAACATGAAGAAGCAGTCAAGCCCAGTAATTAAGAGGATGGGCTTTAAGAATAAAGACTGTTCTAGGTTTGCATCTCGCCCCTATCCCCTTATAGGTTTAGGACTTGGCTTTCAAACTTCTCTTATAAACTTCAATTTCCTTGTCTATAAAACAGGGAAAATGCCTACTTTTACAGAGAGTGGTGTCTATTACAGAGAGCGGTGCCTAGTAAATGAATGCAATACAAGCGTACTTTCAATACTGTGTTAAAGCCTGAAGAGACAGCGCTTTATGGCTTCATGTCCAGGTCCGTCTGGCTTCAAAGCGCTGGCTCTGCACTCAGCACGTGCTGTTAGAGGAATAAAAGGTCCCTTAATAAGATGTTTTTCAAGATTGCAAGGCATTGGAGCGAAGAAGTCTCTTCCCTGCTCTGTAAATCCGTGAGCTGCCGCGGGAACACTGGGTATCTTGCATCCGACTCAGTTTATACAACCTGTTTGACACTGGAAAAGTATAGTCAAAGGAGGAATGAAAACACTGAAATGACCTCTACTCTGACTCTTCCTGAAAAAACCGGAATCTGGAGTGCATGCTGCGTGCGGGAAGGGTGCACCCTTCATCAGCCTGTGTGTGCGATCCGCCTTTCAGATGCTAAAAAGGAAAAGCTTGTAGGATTAAGTGCCCCTGCCTCTTTTCCTGGACTTCGCCCAGAATCCGAAGACTAGTTTTGGAAATCTAACGTCTTTCACATCACATCTGAAAGCACATTTTCATGTAGTTTGAAGGCACTCATACATGTATTAACTCTGATGCAGTCATTTGGTCTAAGTTTCATCTTCCTTAATTTGGAAGCACCCGGGACTTCACTTGTATGTAACAGCGGTGCTATTTAGAAACTTGAAAATGAACGTAAAGGCACTTTGTAAATTGTAAGGCTGGAGATATTTTAAAAATAGGGTTTTAAATATCAATAAAGGGTTTAAAAAAGACAACACTGAAGTGTTTAAAATTTTGTGTAAATAGATCAACTGGAAAAAATGCAGAGCCTGCATGTAGAGTCAAGACCTGGGCCCCATTTCCAGCTTTACACCCGACGCAGGCTACATACCACCGGTGTCCAAGCTTCTACGGGGAAATGCTGGAGTAGTGAGTAAGCTCTAAAAGGGTTGAGCACTGGTGTTATATGGAAACCAACTTGACAATAAACTATTTTTAAAAATAAAATAAATAAAAAATAATAAATAAAAGGGTTGACATAAATAGCCAGTGATAAAAGCATATTATGTTTGCTTTCCAAGTTTTATCTTTGACCTTATCAAGCTATCAGATACAACTGAGGAATCTTAGGACTGAGTCTCTGTAAATGGCTCAGTTTCTGGTCCCAATTTTTCTACCAAAGTGGCACCCTTCAATCACAGCCCAGGCCTTGGGAAACCTAATTTCCCAGCTGTATAGAGCCACTCCCACTCCCCAGAACATCTCCTCCAAGGTAACAAACAAGCGAACAAAACCCTATTTCGACAGGTTTTATTTCATGTATTGTTTGCTGTTAGAACTTTCCTAGGCTCTGCATCTAAAGTCTATCAGTGTGCAAAGTCTGGTCAAAAGAGACACGGCAGCTGAGTATCCAGGAGAACACAGGTGAGTGCCACATGCTTACCAGGCATGCTTAAGGAGCTGTTCTGGGCCAAGAGAAAACAAACGAGCGCTTGCAGAAGTGAAAGATACCCCATGCACCCTCAGACACATACTCAGGGAGCTTAGAGGTTGAGGACACTCTTCTATACCAAAATGGGGGCCAAAACAGAATCCTTTTCATCTTCCATCACACTTTTAAAAAACAGAGAAGATATCAACATTAACTGACCTTAAATCAACGTCAAAGAAGCGAGAAGAAATTAATGCACAAAGAAATACAATTCACAAAAGAAAATATGCAATCTTTTATAAGCTGCACACATTTCAACAAAAAAGTTGGGGACACAGATTTAGTTATGTAGATTTTTGAAAACATTTATTGCAAGAAGGTTCCCTTTCCCATATTAGAAGGAAAACATGACTGGAAATATTCCACGAATGGAAAGTACGTTAAACCAATTCCCAAGTCCTTAACAAATAAGGGATCCATAAATGAGAGTATATTTTGGAACTTAAAATTAGGGAAGCCTTTGCACAATGTAGACGGGGAAAGAGAAAACAGAACAAAGTCAGAATGATCATTTACATTTTACAGTCTTTAATTAAGCACATAAAACTGTACTATTTAATATATTTTTCCATGAACTTTTTGTGAAATTCAGATCGCAGTGTATCATTTACAAATCTTTTGTCTTTCTTCTGATCATCTACACCTTTTGCACAGTTCTTGAAAACAACATCATCATCCCACCTAAAGGGAAAATCAAACAGAACACTTACATGTCTGTATCAGGAGACAAGAACAAGTGAGCTGCAAAGCTCAGTCATTACCCAGAAAGATGCTCAACATGTACGTCACTTGATGCAGCAATTACCCCCAAAAGAATAAAGTAATTCTTAATAGGTTGTAATCTTGCTTTATTACAGCAGGAAGGGTAATTCCTTTCTAGAGCATACAAACATTACTTCTGCTGTATGAGAAACTTTAGGTTAAAAAGCCGAAATACACAGGCATAATTGCATAAATATTTAATGTCTTCAGCTCTGAAACAAAGAGGCAGCACCAGATTACGCTGGTTAGTGTAGATACTTCAGGATGACGATAACTGACCGATGTACTATCGTTTAAATTACTGGGTTTTACAGATTTTATACTCTCTCATCAGTCACATTTAGTAATCATCCACTGTAGTGCCTGCATTTTATGGCAACAAAGGAGAAGAAACTACTGGGGTATAACCAGTAAGGCTCATGTGCTGGCCCACATCCACATGTCATTGCCAGAATAAAGAATATTCTGGATGACCCCTCAGAAGGGGGACAGAGCATGAGGAAGTGTGCACATGGATTCCACCCGTAGTTTTCCTCTTATTACCTGGCTATGGTTCTATTAGTCACAAGGACCACCATATGCGGAGTCCTCTGTGTCCTTCTAACGAGTCTCTGAATGTGAAGGGTGGTCTTGGGGACTCTTCCCACATATATCTAAAATGTGAGCTCTATAGGGCCAACGGCTCAATGCACTGCTCCATCCTGAGTGCTTAGAACAGTATTTGGTACACAGACAGTTATCTGAAATCTACTGAAAGTACATTTTCTTTCCTTCTCCTTCTGTTACTCCAATATCGGATGGAGAAGATGATCAGTGAAAAGGAGGTTTTTAGAGGTTTCTCATAATACAGTTTGGTATAAAACGCACAATCTGCAATAATATATCCAACTTATTAGTGTAAAGTACCTTCTTTTAACTTTGAAGTTGGCCTGAGGCTGGGATGGGCCAGTGAGATTAAGGAGAGGGTTTCCACTCAAAATGTTTTCCATACGTATTCTTTCTTCTTCAGCTTTTTGTTCTTGTTCCTGTCAATGACACAGAAGGGCTCGTTTACTTACATTAATTCTGGGATCAATCTTCTTGCATAACTATTTTAAAAGACTGTTAGGATTTTATGAGGGAGCTGGAATAAGAATCTAGTTGGTTTTTTTTTTTTTTTAAAGATATACCAGAAAAGTCTCACTTATGGAAACAATTTGGCCTTTTTACTACAAGTATTGCATGCTGGTCATCATACATTCATTAGTTCAACTCTGAAATTCTAGAATGCATATTTAAATCTATTTTCACTCTTGAAGTACATACAAAATTCACTGCTCATTCTAAGAGTACATCGATAAATATATTCTAATAATTTAAGAATACATTAAACCTCAAAAAGACACCTTTAGCAAAACTATTACCTTTATTTTTAAAGATGGGCTATACATAACCACGATTAAAAATAGTTTTATTTTGAATTATTAACAATGTAAACGTGCACTTCCAGGACTAGTAACAAGTTATTATTAACCAAGAAGTAGTTCCTAAAATAAAACAAACTATCATGTAAAATCTTACATTCAGTTAACATTCATTTCTACTAATTCACCACAAGTTTTTCCATTTTGTTATCATTTATCGTTACTAATTTTCCATTTTTACACCTCTCATTCTTCATCAGCAACAAGCTCATCCTTCTTCACTTTTAATTTAGCATTAACCTCTTTAAACTCAAATCACCCTCAGTTTCATTCTTAAAAATATAAATCCCTAGACTTCTTAGCCATAGTAACTGCTGATTTACCTGCTCATGCTTTTTTAAACCAAAGATAAATCCCACTTTATTGTATTTTAGGGATGACAAAAATTGATCAAGGAAAAAAAGACTTTCAATTTAAAATGAACCTAATAAAGTTTTAGATCACTTCAAAAAATAACCTAATTTTCCATACAGGTTGATATTTCATTTTAATATCCAAATATGAACAATAGATTTCATTTTTAAGAGGCCAAATAACTGGGAAGTAACAAGATGCAATTTTCAGGGAAATAAGCTGGGAAATTGCTTTAGGTCACTTCCAGATCGTAAGCAAACAAAGTCAGGGACATCCATCATAGATTAAGAGTAGATAGCTTTCTAAAAACTATGTATTTTTAACAAATTATTTGATGCCAAAAGTGAAAAGACATTTCTCTGAAATGCTACAAAAATAAGAGCTCAAATATACACCATACCCAAATTATAATAATAATGTATGTGATATGATAAAGTTCTGGCCACTGTATATGTACATTATTTCCTTCAGAGTCCTGGCCAACTGCCAAACACAGCACTGGGAAAAAAGGTGCCCACTCTTTCGATACTCAGGTACCAGGCACATTATAGTTCACAAACACAGGTGAATAATGACGGCCTGCAGATCAAATCCAAACCACCGGGTTTTTGAAAATAAAACGTTACTGGAACATAGTCAACCTCATTCATTACGATACTGTCTGCAGTGGTTTTTGTGCCACAGAGAGCAGAGCTGAACACCTACACTGGAGACTGCATGGTTTCTAGCCTGAAATATCCTGACATATTTACCATCTGGCCCTCTACAGAAAGCCTCCTAGCCCCTGTCATAGGCTGACTGGTTTGAAAATGTGATTTTGGGAAACTTCAAAAATAAGCCACTAGAAAACCAGGCAGCAAAACAGGAACAAAAGAAATAAAACTGTCATTCAACCCCAAGAAACACCAATACATTTTTGTACAAAGAGAGCAGATTAGATGAACCTCTTAAAATTCCAAAATCTTTGTCTAAAATGTTTATACTTGGGGCACCTGGGTGGCTCAGCTGGTTAAGTGTCCAACTGTCCAACTTCAGCTTATGTCATGATCTCACAGCTCGTGAATTCGAGCCCCACACGGAGCTCTGTGTTGACAGCTTGGAGCCTGGAGCTGCTTCAGATTCTGTGTCTCTCTCCCTCTCTGCCCCTCCCCTCGTGCACATTCTGTTTCTGTCTCTCAAAACTAAACATTAAAAAATAAAATAAAAAATAAAATATTTATCTTTCCTAACGGTCAACCAAATGCATTTGACTCTCTTTGCGTATCTAGAGCTGTTAGGCAAGCTCAAAGATTCTGGAATAGAACTGCCCTCTAGTGGTGTGCAAGTGATCTCAGGAAAGTTCTTATAATTCTTTGATTTTTAAAAATTAGATACAATTACCAGCTATCATGGGAATTGTGCCAAACTTGATGAGAATTACATTTAAAATATTCTTCCAATTTGAAATCCAGCAATGTTCTACTTCCCTAGACTCCTCACATGAACCCATGTCAGTCTTTTTCCCTCCTTAAACAGAACAATTCCCGGTTTAAGCTTACACAGAAGCTCATTAAAAAAAGCTGAGTTGTTCTGTTTGAAAGCGGAGGCAGACGTCTTCATTTGAATGTCTCATAATGGGTCAAATTCAACCTGTTCCCGAGTTCATCATCTCTTTTCTCTCTGTCTACACACCCATCCTCTGCCATCCCCTGTATTAGTGACTGGCAGCAACATCTGCCCAGAAACTAGGGGTCATCGTGGCTGCCACATCTAATCAGCCACTTCATCTGGTCAATTTTACTTCCTTGACAGCTCTATCAGCATCTACTTACTTCCCACAACTCCAATTCCTATCATGCAAAATTATAATTGCATGTGCGGATTATTGGAACAGCCTCCTCACTCAGTTCTCTCAATACAACCTCCACGCTTCTGCCAAAGTAACCTTTCCAAACTGCATAATCCATTAAGTTTATTATTCATATTTTCCTGTATTACTGAAATATTCCATAATAAAGAAATAAACATAAAAATAAAATGCATATCCAATCTGATCAATCTCCTGCTGAAATTAACTAGCTCCTCATGGCCTTCAACATCGAGTCCAAACTCCTTTAGCACTGGTTTGTGAACCACTAGTGCTGTGACCTGCTCTAGCTCACCTGTTTCATCTCTTACTGTTGCTACTATGGCTAATTTGTCCAAAGGTTAAAAGTCTGTACTACAGATCCTATGTAATCCTTGTAACTCTCACGGAGACATTCTTTTCTTTCATTGTATATATAAATGGAGAGATTGTGGGGACCCAGAAATTAGGTAAAATGCCCTAAGTTATATAAAATCTATTAACAGACTGTATCAACATATGCCTGGAAAAGAAGGCTGGAAACAGGAGACCAAGAGATAAAGGTATGGAAACCAATTTGACAACATATTATATTTTTAAAAAAAGAGGGAGGGAGGGAGGGAGGGAGGGGGAGGGAGGGAGGGGGAGGGAGGGAGAGAGAGAGAGAGAGAGAGAGAGACAAAGATGGCCTCATTATACCCATGGGCTCTTGGTAGGCCATGATCATATATCATATTCATCTTGGACTCCTCTGACACTTAATGGACAATGACTAAACGTCTGCTCAACAAATGAACAAGGATATGAACAAAGAGCAAATTGATAGAGTTGGTAGGCAAGTCTGAGCCATTTGGAAAGAATTTTTAACACAACCAGGAAAGTTAGGATGTCACAAAAATAATCAGACTTATAGCCCTACGAGTGCTGTAATAGCTAAACAGGGCACGGTTTCCAATATAAGATGATATTACTTACATCAAAAAATATTTCTAGTCTAGTAAAGAAGATAGAGAAAAATGTAAATATCTAATATTTTCATTTTACCTTCCTGGCCTGCTCTTCAGCTCTTTCTTTTTTGATTTTTTCTAGTTCTGCAAGAAGAGCTGCAGTGTCATCATCATCACTCTCCTCTTCAAAATCTTCATCTTCATCTTCCTCCTGAAAAAGAATGACAACGGTCCAGTAGATTGGAAAGAAAACACACATTATTCATTTATTTCGCCACAAAAATTACACTTATCAACTCTCTGGGGGCAGGATTAAGTTTCCTGCTGGGAAAGATAAATGTACCTAAATATAATTAAAATCAATGAGCAACCAAAAAATAAAATAAAACCTCACAAACAAGCTTACTAAGATGTCGCATATGTTTGAGAGATTATAACAGCAAATAGTGTAACAAAGTATCTTTCAAACTCACAGGGTCCAAAGAGAATTTACATATGAAAATAGCCCTAAAATCAGAAGGAACACTCCACTGATATGGCGCAGCATATATGTACACAGTGTATCACCCTGAGAGTCAAGTAATTTTACCAGCTCAAAACAACTTTTATGCCAGGAAGTAAGGATAATCAAAAGTACAAAAAAGGGTGCTACGTTCTCAGAATAATTTCAAACAAATAATGATTAAACCCCATTTAAAATTGGGTTCCCTTTATTTAATTATGGAGTTCACTACTGAATTCAAACTGTCAGGTCTGGAATTAATTGCTGACATATGTATTTAGTTAGATGCTCCCCATGAAAAGCCACTCATTTTTTCCCAATGTATGTAGAAAATTGCAGGTTAATTACAGACTATAAGGTCCCAATGAATTTTAATGCTAACTGATGCACTAACTCTAAAAGCCTTCCACTTGGATCGTTTCCCTCCCTAAGGAGAGGGAGCCATTAAGTTGAGATGCACATCTAGAGAGCCCCTTGGTATCTAATTTGGAAAGGCCCCTGCGTTCAACTCCTGAGGGTGCTAACGGAGACCCCCGGATGAAGAATGGCTTCTGGAAGTACAGAAAACATGGGCAACCTCCAGAGTTTAGTACAGAGAATTATCTCTTAGGGAAGCTTATTCTTTAATAGAGTACTTCATTATGGCTCTCCAGAGATCAAACTTGCCCTTGAAGTCTGATTACTCTGGTGATTAATAACACTTTTTGTTTAAGAATCAACCACTGGGGCGCCTGGGTGGCTTAGCTGGTTGAGCGTATGACTTTCGCTTAGGTCATGATCTCGCGGTTCGTGGGTTTGAGCCCTGCGTCGGGCTCTGTGCTGACTGCCAGCTCAGAGCCTGGAGCCTGTTTTGGTCTGTGTCTCCCTCTCTCTCTGACCCTCCCCTGCTCATGCTGTCTCTCTCTCTCTCCTAGAAATAAATAAAAAAACATAAAAAAAAAAAAAAAAAGAATCAACCACTGGGCACCTGGGTGGATCAATCGGTTAAGTGTCCGACTCCTAATTTTGGCTCAGTTCACGATCTCCCGGTTCATGAGACCAAGCCCTGCATCAGCCTCTGCACTGACAGTGCCAAGCTTGTCTGGGGTTCTCTCTCCCTCTCTCTCTCTGCCCCTCCACTGTTCATGCTCTCACTCTCTCAAAATAAATAAACAAACTTAAAAATCAACCATAAAGCTTAACAATGAAATCATGGCTACATGTGAATACCAGGAAGTAAAAAAAAAATACAACTCCTTCTTAAAGTCAAAAAATAAAAAAAGCATTTCAAAAAACAAAAAAAAATTATCACGTGGAGATCAATGGAGGAAACAAAACATACATCTGTTAGAGGATCATCTGCATCAAGGTTGGCAGCAGGAATCTGGTCTAACCGAGGTTTCTTTGACACTGACGAGGAGGTTGTATGTTCTGGGGGAAAACAAACATCACTTAGCTCACAAAAATAAACACTACATTTCTTGTAACATTTTAGGGACATATGGGCACAAAGAGCGTACATTAGAAGCATTATGATAGCAGGGATAGGAACCACAATGTCTGGCATGTGCCCTTGGTTAAGTATTTGTTGAATAAATTAATGAAAGTACTGATTTTAATATGGGAACTACAGCCTTTCTCAGGAAATTTAGGAAATAGTTTACATATGCTGGAAAAAAACAAAACAAAACCCGACTCTAACTGATGCCTGTAAATGCCTGCCAAAAGCCAGTAACAAAATTAAGAGACCCTTACAGGCAGAAATTATGGGCCTCAATGAATGTGGCTGCTCTCAACGATCAAAAGCTTTATGTGAACTGAAACAACAGCTGCTAGATATCCCCAGATCATCCTGTTCCTGCCACCACAGAAGCACAGGTGGAATTAGAATCAACCTTGTTATCTCCACTAATCACTTAAGTGTTACTGATATCTTAAAGCAAACAAATATTTTAAGTTGTTCTAAAGGCAAACAGATAAAATATCGATCAGTTCCAATTAGAATATGAAAGAAAAACTGTTGTTGACCTAATTTCAGGAGACAAACGTCTGGGGGTAGTGTTAGTACCTCGTGTTGGACGATCTCTGTTTTTTTCTCTTGCAGCAGCTCGCTCTCTCTCCTCCAGCTCTCTCCTGAAGTCACGGTTGCGAACCTCTTCAGGGGCATCCTGAGTGGTTTGTCTAAACCAGAAACAAATGAGAGCACAAATGTTACTTAAGCAACATGGATACAACAAGTTTCATCCTTGTGATGTTTCCAATATTTCAGAAAGCCCAAACTGAGTCACATATTTTACCATAAGGGCGCAGATTAATTAAAATGTGTTTTACTTTCTGTTAGCATGTAAACTCAGGGCTCATTACTGTGACACTTTGATTCTCAAATTGATCAGTGCAGACAGTGAGTGCATGGGCCCTCTGAGGTAACTATTACTGTGCCATCGACGTATGGAAATCCCAGTTAATAGCAATTTCTGCATCAGTAATATATAGTAGTGCATTATAATCAGAGCATAATTTTAACGTCAAATACTCTATTGCATTCTATGGCTATGAAGACAGATGGCTTAAGTGATAAATCCTCAAAGATGATACAATCTCATGACCGTGCCATTTAACATTTTCAGTCTTATTTTCTGAACAAGAAAATGAAAAGTCTTCATTACCTATATTTTATCTTTGTATGCGAAGGTAGGTCTCTACTTGAATACTGTTTTGAGAGCTGACTCAAATCACCTTCTCCTTTTCCTCTCCCACCTCTTGCAGGCTCAAATGTTGGTCTAGCTGCTGTCGTCATCTTTTACGCTTTAAGGAAAAATAGTATCCAGTTATTTCCAAAAGGATAAACTCTCATTTCATAAAGTATTCACAAATATCCATCCTTGTGAAATAATTTCCAAAACTCATTCTCCAAAATTCACTTAAATAATCTCAAACATTATTTGAAGAAAACAAATAATGAAGCTCGGGGTGTATAAGGAATATGGCTTCTTAAGGCAGCTCTTATTCAGTGCCAAAAAATCTCTCATGAAGATCTGAGTTTGTGTTCCCCGTCTCCCGGCTCTGTGACCTTGGCCAAGTCACCCAGCTTAAGCTTCTGTGGAACTGGCAATATCCCTCAAAGGATTATTATGAGAACTGAAATGTCAAAGCCTTTTAACATTTAGCACTGCCACGATTAAGTTTTAAAAATTCTCAACTCAACATGACTCCACCAGTCACCCTAAGGTTTGCATTTTACCTAAACCTCGTACAACAGAAAAGAGGCTAGCAACTACAAGAACAAGGAAATTGTTTTAAAACCACTGAAAAGTTGGTGAGTGTCCTGGAGCAACGTGTGCTGAAGTTTAATTCAGTTACATGGGCAAAATTCTTCAACATCTTTTTGTTGATCTAATTTTCTCCTACAGCAACCGTTATAAGTCAGGTCTTTTGTAGGTTACAAAGCTCAAGACAGGAGAGAGACTCACCCTCAAAGGATTTTGATAAACAAAACTCAGGGACCCATTCCTTACGTAAATCTTGGTTTTGAGGTGTCAAGAGCAGTGCCTAGATGTGGCTCCTAAAGCCCGTTAAGCGTCCGAAAAGCAGGAGTGTAGGGACGCTGGGGGAACTGGTATACTTCTCTAGATTTTCAAAGAGGGAAAAGGGGTGTATGCAGAGGGAGAAAGTGGGTTATGTGCCGCTGGGGGCGCCGCCGCCTCCCCCCCCGCCCCCCCGTATTATTATCACTCCCGCCTCCCGGGGGCTCGCCTTCAGACTATTACCAGAAACTCGAGGACTCTTCACCCAAGGCCCGACTCGCAAGGTGTCGGGGGGCTGGAAGGGCGTGGACCCTACTAAACGCCGTCTGCAAAGCTGCCTTCACGCTGGGGGCTCCGCGACCGGCCTGGGACTCGGTGGGCTCTACCACTGCCCGCCGCTCCGCGGCCTTCTCCGCCCGCGCCCGGCTCTCTACTGCCGACTCCGACCCCAACCACCCCTTCCCGCCCCTCTCGGACAACAGAGACAACCTGCGATCCTCCTGCCGCTCACGTCGGCCGAGGTCTAACGCCGCAGCCCCCGGAAATCATACAGACACCATTACGACTCTTACCTCCCAGAAGCCTCTGCGCCCAGGGCCAGGGCCCAAGACCCGGAAGCAAACCCCAAGCTCTTACGTCTCAGTTTAGAGGCGGAGGCAGAGACCAATCCGCAGAAGACAAGGTGGAAGTCGCCCCGACGACAGCAAGGGGCGGGCCTGAAACGGCCCAGGGGGCGGGCGTTTGAAATCAGTGCTTTAGAGTAGATCCTAAACATCATTTTATACCTTCGAGAACCAATTACTTAATGTCTCTTCCGTCTTTCCCTTCCCCGACCCCCTCCCAGACTCCTTCATTCTGGTGCTGCGTGGACGGAAAGCCCCGGGTAGCCGACACCACGTCCCCGGCTAGCGAGAGAGAGCGTAGAGAAGGATTACACCAAACTGTTTAAATCCAACGGCTCCAGCTTCCTCTCTCCTGAGCTAGACCCAACAAGCCTAGAGAGTTGGGCTACGGAAAAACTAGTGTTTTCATTTAATTGGATATGAAGAAAGAACAAATATGTACGGGGGCAACCACGATCTTTATAAAGGTACCATTCCTGCAAAAATATTAGTCTTCAGAAGCAAAGGTTGTATTCGTATTGTTTGCTAAAATTTCTATTTTCTTAAAAAAGCCTAAGTTCTAGTGGGAGGGGAGATGTCACTATTAGAGATTCATTTATTAACCCGATTACGAACGTTTAGAACGGTGGGCCCAACTGCCAGAAGCACGAGATGCAGTTATAAGATGGCTACTCAAGCGTTAGGTGAACTTTTAATAAGACAACGAGCCGGGGGGTAAAAAATTAAAAAAAAAAAAAACCTCGCCAGTCGTCTTTCCTCCCTTTCCTAAAAAGCACTCTGGGAGCAGGGCTCTTGTTTGCTTAGTCCATATTGGTATCTCGTCGCATAGTTTTTGGGCTCAGTATATACTCAATAAATATTTATTAAACAAATGAAAATTCAGCTCCTCCAACTTGGTTTCAAAGGTAAAGAGCTCATTATATTGGACATTAAAAAACTTTATTTTTGGAACTCTTTCTTTGAAACTTTTAAATGAAAAAAAAGTAGGAAAAAAACCTCTTCTAAAAAGTTCAAGATGAAGATCTTAATTCTTCCTGGAGGTGTTTCTCCCTTAGTTTTGCACATCTCAGTCAAGGACCCTACCGTGTATAAATTCTTACACCAAAATCTCAAGGAACCTAATTGAATTCCTTTTTCTAAACCCTTTACAATTAGTTTATTTGCAAGACTTGCCAATTTTACTTTCAAAATGATACCCCACATTTCACTCCACTGCCACTACCCTAGTCTAAGCCCCTAAGATTTTTCACCGGTATTGTAATTGCTCCCTAACGGTCTCCCTGCTTCCACCTTTGTCCAGCATACAGTTAATTTTGCACACAGCAGTGAGAGTGACCTTTGAAAATGACAAATCAGGTAGTGTTACTCTCCTGCAGAAAAATCCACTGCACTTAGAGTAAAAGTCAAATTCCCTAATGTGACCCGAGACCTGTGGGGTCTGGTTCCTGCCTATCTCCCCGACTTACTTTGAATCAGACACTTCTTTCATACTAAACCTTAGCCACAACCAGCAGGGCATTTCTGTTTCACAAACCAAGGATAAGATTCCTTTGTACTAGGTTTTCTCTGTTGCCTGTGCCCCAAGATAACTATTAACAACCCTCAAGTCTCTTCTCAAATGTTACTGCATCAGTGAGACTTTCTCTGACATCTTCATTGTCACCCCCAAACCCCCAACATGCAAATACCAGCACATTGCCCTACTTCATGTTTGTGTAGTGCTTAACACTACCACATTTATTCTGCTTATTGTTTTTTGCCTTCTTTCTTGTCTGAGAGGCAGCATAGCAGAGTCATTAAGAAAAAGAGATCTACATAGCCTGTCTTGGTGCTAAATCCCAGGTCTGCCTTTGACTAGTTGTTTAGCTTTGCCCTAAGGGAAATTTATTTTCCTTTTCTGTGCCGTCAGTTTCCATTGTATAAAATGGGGATAATTCTAGTCTTTACCTCCTATTGTTATGATAAGGATTAAATGAAGTAATACTTGTAAAGTGCTTAAAACAGTCTCAGCAAACAGTACTTGCTAAATTAATGTTAGCTATTATTATTATTAATATTATTTTTATTATTATTGTCTATCTTCCTATATTAGAACATAAGTTCCAGGAAAGCAGGAACCTTGTCTCTCTTGTTCACTGGTGTATCCTCTGCATGTAGAACAGTGCCTGGCACATAATAGGTGCTGAGTAAGTATTTGTTGAATGAATGAATGATTGATGCACTATGAAGTAGAGGAAAGAAGTAACAATGGCAAGGTGGTGACACAATTATAGGTAATACCCCGGGTTTTTATGTTCCAGCTGCCCTTATCAGCCCTGAGTCAATCAGTCTGATTCATTGTGCTTTTAGCCCACCACCATGGGCTGATCTTTGGGTCATCGTGATTAAATAACCACCCCTGTAATTCCATTAACACCAGCATACAATATGATCAGTCCATGAAGTTAAAGCTTTGACTTAAACGGTCTGAAAGTAGTAATTAGAAAACACCAAAATGTGTTTGCTTAATTGATTTTAAAGTACTGATAAATGAAACCAAAAGCTTTTCACTTAAGTGGTTTGAAAGTATTAGAAAAAGAAACTAAAAGTAAGTTTACTAAAAACTTAAAATATACCTTATCAGTTTACCTTTGCTGGCAAAAGTCATGTATAACCTCCCAGGGATTCTCATTTTAAGCCCATTACCACTGAAATCTAGCTGTGCCTGAAATTCTGCCTGTCAAACCTCTTATGCTCTTCCAATTGTTTATTTTCTCACTCTGCAATAATATGATTTCCCACAGTCCCCTCTTTCTTCAAATCTACACATCTCTTCCACCCTCTTTTCCCTTCTCATCCTCTGTCCCAGGAGTGAATGATTTTCTGACTTCTCGGGAAAATAAAAGCTCTTAACCCAAGGATTTCTCATGTGCCCTCCAGCAGATATACCAAACTACCCGTGACTTTGCCCAGACCCTCAGCTTTCTATGGGTTAGGAGACATGAGATGACCTGAGCCCTCTCCTTTGTGGTATACACAGATATGACATCCTGGTAAATTAAATATTCAGAAGGAAAAAAAGAAACCATAAAAATCTAAGAAATCTTATGAGACTATTTGTACAATCTAGGGGTTGTAAAGACCTTTTGAGCAAGGCAGAGCACCTAAGAGCTGTGAAAAGAGTAATTGTAAAAATTTGTCTATATAAAATTTTAGTTTTATAGCAGAAGATGCTCAAAAAAAAGTCAAAGATAAATGTTAGACTAACAGGTGAATTTTGTAATGCCTCTAACATAAAAGGTTACTACTACTGTACATAACAAAGTACTAACAACACAATTTAAAAAATGGGCAAAGAATATAAACAGGACATTCAGTGAAAGCATTCCAAAGAAACATAAAAGACACACAACCTCCCTCTTAGGAAGATGAAAATAAACTAATAATTACCACATCGTAGTATCAGATTGGCAATAGTTTTTACAAATTAACAAGACAATTGGATGGGATTGGGAGAAAAGGGGATCCAGCTAGACAATAGGCATTGGCTCCCGATTTCTCTCACAGTAAGAATAAAAGGTGCTCACAGTGACCTACAAGATTCTCCCCTACCTAGTGGATTTCCTCCCTTGCTCATGTCTCTGCAGGCTACATCCCTTCTGGTGTTACGTGATCCTATCTCCTGCCTTAGGGTTCTTGCGTTAGCTATTTCCTTGGCCAAGAACACTCTTACTTGTCTTATTCAGGTGTAGGTTTAAATGAGGTCACCCAAACAGGACAGTCCTATTCAAAGATGCAACCCTCCTCCCCTTTGTTCCCCCAACATCCTGTTCTTTTTATCTCCCTTATCCGGCTATACTTTTCTTTTTTACATAGAATGTACCCTCTTCCATGATCCTATATAATTTAGGTAAGTTGGCTATTTTTTTCTCTACCTATTCCATGCAATATATAAATTCTACCAGGGCAGAATCTGTTGATCCCAATGATGTAAGCCAAGCGCCTAAAACAGTGCCTGGCACCAAGAGATGCCCACAGTTTTTTTCCAAATAATGAATGAGTGGATGGATGAATGAATGAATGAATGAGTGATTGAGTGAATGAGTTTTCACAGGGGAAAAAAAATCACATTTTGGTATAAAAAGCTATTGCCTTAATCTCTTTTATATTTTAAAGGAGAAAAAAGTAACTTAACATTCTGCTAGTCTTAAATCCAGATTTGAAATGAAGATACACCAAGACCCAGAAAGATTTCTTTTCAGGAAAGAATCACTAAATGAAAAACCCTATGACTACCAGGCTCTATAGGTACCATCAGAATTCTAAATCAGTTAGTCCCACCCCCATCCAATCACAGCTCTAATTTAATCCAACCTTCCTCTTCTTTCAGTTGAATCATTTCCTCCAATTCTAGTCAGCCCTCTAATTTACAAAGTTACCAACCTACAAAGAAAGTTTTGCTTAAAGCTTTTAATAAAAAAATGAAGGAAAACACCCCAGTGATCACAAGTCACAAATCACATTTAAAAAGGAAACATAAATAATGGCATCTGTTTAAAATGTTTAACTTGAAAATGACCAATTTTCTAAGATAAAAAATCAGGTACTTTGTTTTGACAAGACTAGGTGCTCTGGGGCCCAGAGAATGATTTCCTGGAGACACCTTCAGAATGAAATTTGCTGATGGTTCAGGCTAGATTACTGGATAATAGTGTAATTTACTTTTATTTAATATGAGCACATGGCTACCTCATCAGCTGGCCCGCCCATAATTACCAAGACAATTAAAAACAAACATACTAAAAACAGTTAAAACTAAACAACTAATGTGGGGAAAATACTGCGCAAATTCTAAGGAATGCCAACAAAAGAACTGTAATAACATTGATTATCAGAAGTATTCTTGGGGCACTTGGGTGGCTCAGTTGGCTAGGCATCTAACTCTTGATTTCAGCTGA